TCAGTAACAATGCCTTGTCGCTATAGATATTATATCTGCATTTTGTTCCGCACATAGTGTTGATTTGTTTACAAAAATTCACTAAGATTTGTATTAGAGGACTTCCCGATCACAAGTCCCTCCCTGAGTATAAGCCCACCCCTCTAATTTTAGACATTTAACGAATTGAGGACATCCCTGGTTAATAGTCCCAGTGTGTTTTTACCGGACGTTGATGGCACTTATTAAAATATGCATGGTGAACGAAAGATGTAATTTGGATAATTTTTTTGTGGATGGTAAGATGATTACAATCTTAAACCCCCTCCCCCCCCAATAATGTCTTTCCGAGTTGGTCCTCGGGTATAAGCTCATCCCGTATTTGCAACAATTTTACATTTTGAGACCCCTTGCCTTATAACCAGGGAAATATGGCATAAGCCATGCGTCTCTTTTGCTTCGGGGTTGACTATATATTTAATGTAAATTACATATAAACAATGAATTATACAATAATACCATGTACATCACGGATGCAGCTTCTGTTTGTAGATACTAACATCCCCACATCATCATCTTCTTTCTCTTTAACAGCCTTCAAATGACGTACCTCATCGCATTTCTTCCAAAAAGACTGGGAAAGACAAACAGAGGCCTCAGTCAGAAATAGACAGTAAGTGAGCATTCATGTAGCATTCATGATCGTTATTGTTTATGATTAGGAGTTTCCTGCATTCGAGTCTTTTCTGATAATAAGAGCAATCCTCACCTGATTGTTCAGTGTGACACAAATTCAGATCGGGGTATTAAAGCTGCTGGTCCGAGCTTTGTTCACTTTAAGGTTACTTTATTGTGAACTTTGAACTTTCCGTGTGCATTTGTGTTCACTCATTTGATACGATTCGATACAATTTGCCATGATGATATTATGATAGTGAAAAATGAGATGAATGAGCGAGTTGCACGTAATTTTGGTTGCATGAATTACATCCCATTTTTTCCCCTCCACAGTGGAGAGCTTGGCGCTTGAGTTGCCGCCAGTGAGAGAAACGCAGATTGAGAGAGATGAACCGACAGTGTATCAGCCTTGGCAACCAATTGAACAAGAACCTATCATAAGTAAAAGAAAGTGAGTAAAACTGTTAATGAATACTTTATTTCAGCATTAACTGGTGAGTTACCGCTTGTTTCGGTTGATTTCAGCCGAAATCCTGCTAGTGTCGAAAATGTGCATGTGCATGTGTATGCGCATGTGTAAAGTCCTGTCAATTTTAGATTCTTGCTTCAATGCAGGTGCACATTTGACACGCAAGCTAGGTACAAAACCAGAATATATCTTGAGTGGGATCGTAGTAGATCACTTGCCACCATATGGAATGGACTGCATAGTTTGATATTAATGTATATCTACATAGTTACGATAATAGTACTTATATTCTGTGTAGTGATCGGGATCTCTGGCTTCAGCTGTTTGCCTTACTTGTGCCTGACTGGTTTGGGGAATGCATGGTTGGGTTTCCTTTCCTTGTTTCCTTGTTGCAAATAGTCCCGACACAGGGTTACGTCATTCGATATTGTGATACATGGTATGGTCTTACGTGTGATAGAGGCTCTTTCATGTTTCCCCTCTGTCAAAATACTTTACAATCTACACTGATAAAAGAAAGACATAAAAATTAATGGTATCTCACGTTTTTGGATTCAGATTTGTTGGTTACTGTGATATGCCAGTATAGGTTGTCAGTGCGTGTTGGTGTGTAGCATGAGTAAACTTGTAAACCATAAATTTGTGAAGTTTGGTCACAATTTATGTTTGTTGTTTGGTGACATCTCATATGAGCATGGGTAATTTGTAAGGGTGTATACATGTTAGGTGGGCTCATAACAACTCCATGGCAAGGTTACAAAGGTTTCACTATGTTTTTTGTGCTGCATGTGGAGTTATTCAAACACATTTCGTTTGGCATGGTGATGGTGTATTATTGTGTGTGCTGTTCTGTTTTGCATACTGATGGTGATGAAGAAAATGCATCTCATCGACCCAGCAGCACATCAGCATCATCATTTTTTTTTTTTCATTACATTTTGTTTTTTCATGATGCTCATCATGTCAAATTGTTTTTTCTTTCTTTCTTCCCTTCACCATGGCAACACGTTTTACCCAGGAGTCTCTTAGCATCAGTTGAAGAGGAATTACAAAAACGGTATGCAGTGCATACTTTTGCTGTGTATATTTTTCATTTGAATATAGCGATAACTAGCGATAACTAGCAAGTCTGATATAATCAATTTTGCGGTCCTCGTCTGTTTATAGTTAGTTTATTGTGTTAGTTAGTACAATGAAAGAGAGAGAGAGAAAGCAAGCAACGAAAAGTGGTATTCCTTCATGGAATTCAAGTATGGTTTATTTTTTTTTAGCAAAACCATCACTAGTTTACTTCTCTCTCGGGACATTTTACCCTTCTGTACTCTCGGTGTTTAATTATTTAAAGTTTGATAATTAACAAATTCTAACATTTCTTTTTTTTTTTTGGTGTGTGCTTCAT